ACGCGCGCATCACATCACATCATGACTTTTGCCTCATTTCAGTAAGAATATCGGAAGGCAATAAGCGTTACAACCAATTCACTAAAGCTACAACAACTTGGTGTGTGTAACCATCGTCTCTCTCCCTCTGCCTTTTCAATTAAACACACACACTAATCCTCACACTGTTTATCACAAGCTCGGCAAAAAATTACCAGCCTACAACAAAGTCTTTTATTTCATTATGACTATAGGGAATCACCACAATCGATATACTAGGTTGGCTGCTCAGGCTTCACCTAAAATTTTGTCACTGTCCAGAAACACTTTTGTTGGAAATTATCGCGTGGTTGTGAAGGTAAAAGAGATGACAACCAGATTGTTATTGACTCAGTTATTTAATGATGATGCATGTGTCCACAAATGCAACTAGCCCCTATTGCACAAGCGCGTAACACTCAGTAAAACGGCAGCACCGCGTATAGAATTGTCGTTCGCTTCAAAATCAGATCATTGATGAAACAGGTCATGCTTGTTTCGCCAAAACATGATGAAAGAATCGCAAGTGAACGCGTCAGTTTCACAATAAACTCAACTACTCGCATTGCGTGAGATGTGAAAGTTTTAACCCAATTAGGGTTGGCCTGTGCCGACCGGGTAGTTTGTTTTAGCAAGTGGCGCATGGTTATCTTAAAAACTTGGCTGAAACACGTGTCATAGCAATCGCTAAAACACGAAAGTAAAATGTTTCTTCATAGAGATTGTTGAACGTTTATTGCACATCGCTTCGCCTCAAGTGCAAAAAGTTGAAATTTCTCGCAACTAGTGTATTGTGATGCAAAGAACGACACGCATCTTGAAACTCGCAGCACACACCTCACGCGTAAAGGTTTCACGAGAGAACTTCACGAGAGAAAAACTATCACAGCTCGACACTCAAAACATCCTGCTCAAACCTAAATAACGCACAAAACGAGTACATAAGTATGTAGAATAGAAGCGTGAACTGACAATAACATCTGGGGTTTTATGTCGCGAAACCACGATATGGGTATAGAAGACGCCGCAGTAGAGGCTTTCAAAAATGTTGACGACTTGGTGTTTTGTAACTTGCGCCTGAATATAATTGCACATGCCAGCGCCAAATGACAAGTGCCACAGTTACTTCTTTCTGTCTGAGCAAAACGGTTCTTTCGCAAACGCGGCAAGTGCAGCGAGGCAGGTGACCTTCGTGCTCTCTGGAACTGCTACGCCAGCACAATACGACCAAACTACCGAGGTGCGCGGAGCTATAATCGTTCACGGTTCGTACTGCAAACCATGTACGGTTCCTGACCAAGTCATTCGCACCACGCGCAGAGGAGTTAGAGATCGTGTGCTGCAGCCTTCCTTCTTTGCCATCTGTTATTAAACTTTCGTCGCTGCGTTGAATTAGTGACGGATGTACGCCAGCAGGGCAATGGTGGAGCTCAGCATAAAACAAATTTGTGTAAAAAAGAAGAATACTCGTTACTTGCGGCTTTCAGGGTTTACCGGCTAAATGGAGTGCTCATTCAGCGAATCTGACCCTGACAGTAGCTAGTATGGTTCTCTATATTTTTATGATTAGCATACACTTCATATAAACTAGTACTCTGTATGCGCGAAGGCATCAAAAGATATCTACGATTATTACAATGGGCATTACACGCCACCGATGTTCACAAACAGCCCTCACCCAGGTTGATACTGTCACCTAAGGTAACAATGTCTACTCGTAATTTGGTGTGCTTTGCATCTGCACGTTGATGTTTGACAGTCATTTGTCACTCGGAATTTTTTACGATGTCTGAGCACGCTCTAAAAGGACATTATCGTATATATTTGCATATTTTATTACTGCAATGATAATCTTCTAGAAAAAAGTGTAAGACTCGTGTGGTCACACAATAATAAAAATATAGTGGTCGTGTAGATAGTAGGAATTCCTCTTTTTTTTCAATAGCATGCTGAAGTCTAATAAGCTATCACATTTTTCACGGAAGCTGGTGATTTGCCACGAGTGCAACTTACTATCCTACGTGTTACATTACAATACATCTGTTGCAAGAACACATCTGAAGCACCTTTATACCCGAAGTTATGTTATGAAAAATAAACTTTTGACGATAGATTCTTTTCGTCTCTAAGTAACAACATTCGATCGCTGTAGTCCTATTACGTGTGTCTTAGAGCTGCTTCAAAGAAACAAGGTGTTTTTTATTCTGATAACAGCAGAAGTGCAGTCTAGTTCACGATGAAGAATCAATTTACGATATAAAAATACGTCACTCGAGAATGCATAAAAAAGTCCTTACATGTGTCATCGTATCTTTCAACCTTATTAACGGCGCACACTCCTGGTATCAGAAACTTAACTTGCCGGCGCGTGTAGCCAGTCAGATCTGCGTGAGAAAAGACAGTGTGGGTGTTAGAGACGTCATTCACGCACAAAGAAGCACGTCACATAAATCAATCCCAGATCAGAAAAAAAATTTCGCTTGAATGACTGACTGATTGAGCGTTTTTTTTTTTTGCTTCCGCAGAAGATATCCCACATCATGCATGCTTGTCGAACGTGTAGCTTAAAGGTTAATTGAACCATTGTTCAAATGGTAAGAAACATTCAAGATAGTAAGTGAAACATATAGTTAACAGGGATTGTTGAAGAGTTATGTGGTTCAATTATACTTAAGGAAAAACACGCGCGCTACTGACAGTATGGGGGAGAAGAGAAGAAACGAACTGGCAAACGTGGTTGCCAACTCAAGACTGTTTAGTCACAGAAACCACGTCAATATATAGCGGCTGTGAAACAAGGTAATCTCAACAGAAACAGACACATCGCAAAATAAAGAAATCATTATGAGCCGCTTAGGCAGAGTCGGGCCTGGGCCGGGAACACCATTAAAGAAAACTGTAAAACACGCTGGTGCTCATAAGTAGTATCAACCATCATCACAATCATCATCATCATCATCAGCCCGACTACGTCCACTGCAGGACAAAGGCCTCTCCCATGTTCCGCCAGTTAACCCGGTCCTGTGCTTGCTGCTGCCACTTTATACACGCAAACTTCTTAATCTCACCTGCCCACCTAGCCTTCTGTCTCCCCCTAACCCGCTTGCCTTCTCTTGGAACCATGGGGTACCGAAAAATTGGCTGCACCAATCTGAACTTAAAAATAAATACACAGGCTATCTTAAAAAAGACTTGGCTGATTGATATAACAGGAAACAGGTATAAGAGGAATTGGTATAACACGAAGTGAAACATGTCTTCTCGGAGCTGTTAGGCGTTTATTGTGCATTGCTTCAGCGACAGCGGCAAATTGCAAAGTTCCTTTAGGAATGGCAAACAGCTCAAAACTTGCAGCGCTCACCTAAAGCAGGATGCACGCGCAAAACAGGACGAGAGTGGACCAACACGCACGCGTAAACAGCATGAGAGTGGACCAACAGCTGTGACAGCTCGACATTAAAGCACGCTCTTCAAGCATAAAGAAATACGTGCGAAACAAGCGCACAAGTATACACAGGACAAGCGTGAACACCTATTACAATTTGTCTTGCGTCGTGTCTTGAAAGCATGCGTCATTCGTAAACGTGGCCGTGAGAGCCTATGCAGTGACCTTCCTGCTCTCCCGAATACGAGTCTGATAAGCGCATGCGCAGGAGAAGCCACGATCCGTGCAGGCGGCGCTTCGTGGAGGCAACAACCTTTAGGCCGCGTTCACACTGAGCATTCCGGCCGCCGAAAGTGCTCCGAATCCGGTTCGGCGGCAGCGAGATCCGCCGAAAGGGCCCTCTCCGCGCCGATTGCTCTCGGACCGATTTTTGCGGCGTCTGCCGCCGAATCGGTCACCGCGGACCAATAGGAGCGCTAGTCAAGGAATTTTGAAAAATGGTGGCCAAGCCCTACTCACTTGTTATGGCGCAGTGCACGTAACTTGAGAATGCATAAAAAGGCCTTACATGTGTCATCGTATCTTTCAACTTATTAACGCGCCACTCCTGGTATCAGAACTTAACCTGCCGGCGCGTGTAGCCAGTCAAATCTGCGTGAGAAAAGACAGTGTGGGTGTTAGAGACGTCATTCACGTACAAAGAAGCACGTTACATAAATCAATCCTAGATCAGAAAAAAACTTTCGCTTGAATGACTGACTGATTGAGCGTTTTTTTTTTTTTGCTTCCGCAGAAGATATTCCACATCGCGCATGCTTGTCGAACGTGTTGCTTGAAGGTTAAATGAACCATTGTTCAAAGGGTAAGAAACATTCAAGATAAAGTGAAACACATAGTTACAGGATTGTTGAAGATTATGTAGTTCAATTATACTTAAGGAAAAACACGCGCGTTACTGACAGTGTGGGGGAGAAAAGAAGAAACGAACCGGCAAACGTGGTTGCCAACTCAAGACTGTTTAGTCACAAAAACCACGTCAATATATAGCGGCTGGGAAACAAGGTAATCTCAACAGAAACAGACACATCGCAAAATTAAGAAATCATTATGAGCCGCTTAGGCAGAGTCGGGCCTGGGCCGGGAACACCATTAAAGAAAACTGTAAAACACGCTGGTGCTCATAAGTAGTATCAACCATCATCATCATCATCATCATCATCAGCCTGACAACGTCCACTGCAGAACAAAGGCCTCTCCCATGTTCCGCCAGTGAACCCGGTCCTGTGCTTGCTGCTGCCAATTTATACCCGCAAACTTCTTAATCTCATCTGCCCACCTAACCTTTTGTCTCCCCCTCACCCGCTTGCCTTCTCTTGGAACCATGGGGTACCGAAAAATTGGCTGCACGCAATCTGAACTTAAAACTGAATACAGGCTATCTTAAAAAAAAACGTGGCTGATTTGTATAACAGGAAACAGGTATAAGAGGAATTGGTATAACGCGAAAGTGAAACATGTCTTCTCGGAGCTGTTAGGCGTTTATTGTGCATGCTCAGCGACAGCGGCAAATTGCAAAGTTCCGTTAGGACTGGCAAACAGCTCAAAACTTGCAGCGCTCACCCTGAAACAGGAAGCACGCGCCAAAACAGGCGAGAGTGGACCAACACGCACGCGTAAACAGGACGAGAGTGGACCAACAGCTGTGACAGCTCGACATTAAAGCACGCTCTTCAAGCATAAAGGAATACGTGCGAAACAAGCGCACAAGTATACACAGGACAAGCGTGAACACCTATTACAATTTGTCTTGCGTCGTGTCTTGAAAGTATGCGTCATTCATAAACGTGGCCGTGAGAGCCTATGCAGTGAGCTTCCTCCTCTCCCAAATACGAGTCTGATAAGCGCGTGCGCAGGAGAAACCCCGATCCGTGGAGGCGGCGCTTCGTGGAGGCAACGACCTTTAGAGTGCGCCTACCGTGATCTCCTCGTGCTATCTCGCCACTGGTAACGAAAACGCACTAAAGATTTCTAACCTGTGGGGACTACCAAAACAGTGTATGACGTATACGAACTGATTGCCGTAAGCTCTCCTGACAGTGTATGCTCTGTGGTGTAGTGGATAGTGTCGCGCGCTGAGAATTGAGAGGTTGCTGGTTCGGTTCCATGCGACACGAGCTTGTTTTATCTTGCAATTTCTTAGTAAATACTTTCAACGTGACCCACGTACTTCCATGACGGAAGTACGTAGGTGAGGCCATGGTGGACCCTAGCATAGAACGCGATTGTGATAAAATGCAGTAGACCTTCTTTTTTTAGGAATCGCTATTACACAGTAGTAAAACGTGTCTTCGCAGCAGTAGTTGAGCGCTTATTGTTCAATATTTCACCACAACGACGACAGAATAAAGGCTACAGCAACAAATTGCAAAGTCACGCGAAGGATGTCAAAGAGCTCAAAACTTGCATTGCAACCTCACGTTCAAAGGACGCACAAAATGAGTATGCACAAGACCAACAAGAACAACTCTCACAGCTTGACACGTAAAGCGCGCATTTCAAACGAAGACACACGGAAGGATCGCAGAAAATACACAGGACAAGCGTACACAACTGTCACAATTCTTCCATCTTCGTGTCTCAGCAGCGTGCTCATTTCTCAAAGGTGACTGGCAGCGAGCTGAGTGACATTCGTGCACTCCGAATTAGGAGTATGATAAGCGCGCGTACAGGGAAGACAATGTTCCGTGGAGGCGGTGATCTCCGAGATGCGAAAGACAAAGACCTTTAGAGCGGGGTCAATGCGCGCCCTTGGTGCCATTTCACCACTGATGACAAAAACGGGCTGAAGTGTAGAAGGTCCGACGACCGCCGAATGGTTGGTGTATGGTGTATTAATGGCTTGCCGTTCCGCTCCATGGTGCGGACACTTCCCACTCGGCAGAGCGTGGTGCTGCGGACTGCGAGGTCTCTGGTTCGACGCACCGCGACAGAACATTTTCTATTTATTTTGCAAGGTGTAATAATTTCACCACTCCAATTTTAAGCTTCGAAACTGCTGACCGCATGGAAAATTTTATTAATAATATAATAATATACCCATCTTTCTTAAAAGATGGATTCATGAGGAGACGAAAACACAAATTATGAGACAAATGCATAAGACAAACGCATACATCGAATGTGTTACAAGTGGGGCAGTTTCACGCGTCGCTTCAGTCCTACTGTACTAATCGCTGATTGCTGTCCATCATTCATCATTTATTATGGTACTCCAGCAGAAATGTTTTTATATACAAAAGTGCCTAGTGCAGGCTTTTGCTAGCACTTCAATGACTTATTTCTGTCACGAATACGACTTTCATATTCAAATCCACGAAATGAATAATGAGTGGGCGAAGCTAGAGAAGAGAAGATCATCGGCAAACTGTAACTTTCCCGTGAAAAGCTAGCCCCCTACATTATTAAAAATACGTCAGACTGTGCGTATAATATACAGATCAACTTCAAATTTGTTCTTGTTCGTTTGTGTTTTAGTTTCTTAATTTGTTCTTTTCATTTCTTTGTTGTCATGGTGGCTCGATGGCAAGGATTCTTCATTATTACGGCTTTATTGTCCATGAAATAAAGTGGCAGAGGTTCTTGTACTGGCTGCAGCAAGAAGTTTGCAAACGCTAAGTTTATGCACGTCCCTCGGATCGTGGTAAGTTGCATATAGATACATCTGAGTGCGTATTTCGAAAGCATGTGCTGCTCGATGCAGTTAATGGCAATGAGGTCCATCTCTTCATGCATCCGTTCATGCATTTTTCCGTCCATTCATCCGTCCGTGCACCCGTTCATGCGTCCGTCCATCTGTCTGTTTGTCCGTCTGTTTATCCGTCTCTCTGTCTGTCCGTCCATCCATCTGTACATCTGCCTGCCTGCCTGCCTGCCTGCCTGCCTGCCTGCCTGCCTGTCTGTCTGTCTGTCTGTCTGTCTGTCTGTCTGTCTGTCTGTCTGTCTGTCTGTCACTCACACAAGCGGCACCTGCTCAGTGAGTCATACAACTAGCTGGTTACGAGCTGGCCACAAGATACATGCATGGACACTCTCACGGCTTTCGAGGCTTCGTACCTAAAATGCATAGCACCTGGCGATCTGGTGATAGCTAAAGATAGCTGTCCGTCACTTTACCTACAATGCTACCGATGCACATGTAGAAGAGTCAACATTCGCGCGTTATATCTATCACACACTCCACTTATCACAGTGCTTTTGGTTTGGTGTTTAAGTGGTGTGGGGTGGGGTGATGTTGCCGTCTGTAAACGTTGAAGGTAAGTATTTCATCTTAACACTAACGTGCACCAATGGAGAACGTTTCGGCAACAACGAAGTTACGCTGTATCACTTCCAGCGTAAACGCTAGCCATGCTGGCATTGAGGAGTAGCCCTAGACACTGTCATGTCGATTGCTTTTCACTTCGTGTCAGTGTGTGATGGCTCGTTAACGGATTAGTGCAGCTTGCACCTGAATCAGCAGTGATGGCTCGCAGCCTAGTTCTTTGATCGCGACCGCACAGAATGATAAAACTGCGGTAATAAGCCGCACAAAAAGGCAGGGATGTGGGATCTGGAACACTTTGCGCGTTCATGACCCTAGCGACAAGCCTCAGCCCCCAGTTTTTTTTATTTTTCAGCGCATCATGGCGGTGAATGCGTGAGCGCATACCTTGGTAACATATGTGACCTTATTGCAAGCGTGCACTTTCACGTTTCTGTCCTTGACTGAATGAACATAAAACCGAGTAAATGGAACACACGAGTTCTTTACGTGCTTTTCGATGCCATCTTTGCACGGGACTCAAGGTATAATTTAAAAGCATATTTGCAACAACTTCAGTTCTCAAAAGGGTTAAATCATAATTGTGGGCATTAGCCGTCGGTATGGGGACTGTCCACTAAGCAGCAACGTTTCTGCATCCAAGTCAGATGGTGCAATAGCTGCCAAACATCAATAGGCATTATACATGTTCTAATATAACGACGTCACATTCACCAATGCACTCAGTATATGAAAAAAGGTGCAGTTTTCACTTAATACGGCCTCTCATGATGAAGCCATTAGCTATGTTTTATCACAGTTGTTTAAAGTAAAAAAATGATTGTGAGTTGTCATCTTTTAGATGGCTCTTGTTGGTGTCGTTGAGCTCACTAAATATGTTCTTCAACGGTCTCCGTTTTTCTGTGAATGCAGTTAATGCTCCATGCTTTCCTAGCGGCCCAACTATTCTCTACATTTCAAGCACTGGTGATGAGGTTCATGTTCACAAAGATCCAACATGTATGAGGATCATTAAAGAAGCAAAGGTGATTTTGCCCCGAAACTAACTATTCACTATTGAAAGTTTCTACTGCTGGTTTAGTTTAATTCTAGTTCACATTTCTGCACGTTCATATTGAACATAGTCACATTTCTCACACCAACACCATTTTTTTAGTTTTTTTACATAGAAGTTCACCTGAAAATTTTTAGCTGTTTGAGTTGAGACAAAGCCTTTCTTTGAATGAATTTGTCAAGCTGATGAATCTTTTGCCTGCAAAATTGTCTCACAGCCCACACTTCCTATCATGCGCGAGCAACAATTCCTTCCCACAGTTTCACCTCCATTGACCGTCAGTTGGTTGGTTGGTAAGAATTTTATTGGACGTTTGGCAGAGCTTTAGACGACTACTCTTAACTTGAAAAATAACTTCAGCATCTTGATGTAGAATGCACAGATAGCCAACACAAATGAATCTTTTATTAGGACTCGTAAACACTTCAATAATGACAAACTGTCCTTACTTTTTAAATCAATCAGGTACATTCTGCAAAGTTATTTACACTACCGACAGGTTATGTAAAACTTCCACTATCCCCTCCCACACCCGAAAAAAAAAGAAACCTAACACTTCTGTCTTTGACTTCTGGAAACCCGTGTTTGTCTTCAGTTTGGTTTTATAGTAGGTAAACTATCATCACTCACAGCCTTACCCCAATACGGCCATGAATCATTCTCTTTCGATCACATGATGTGGCTATGCCCAGCCCTAACGCTTGTCCACACATTCGGAGGAGCATTGGAGAGAATCCTGCACGAGCACGATTGTTCGCACTCCAAAACACGGGCCACCCCGTGGGCCCACCACATCACGGCGATGCTTCAACTTCAGGGCGCACCTTTTGTGTAGCCACTTACTTTTTCTGGGCCTGGCCTCCGACTCATATGGGCCTCAGTTGCACGAGATTCAAAACGCCGTGCATGTTGTGGACAACTTCCAAACTCATTTTCTCTGTTTCCACGTGGGAGAGGTTACTCAGAACTGCCATGTTAAGGTTTCCTGACAGGCAAATACCTAAAACATTTTATCTAGCCTATTAAACAGTGGCGGCTGTTTGAGCCATGACTGCTGCGTAATAAGCCTTGAATATTAGAATCAGCAAAATCGTCGTGGCCTGACCAGCTTATCTTGCAAAACACTGCTCGCAAGATATACTTTGATTTCAGCGTATCTTCCTAATAAGCTCTTTATACTTCAGGAAGTGCGTTCAAATGCTTGGCATGCTTTTCTTAACACTGGCAATTTTTGTGCAATGGCTTTAGTGCTACCCACAGCTCAGAGCTACTTGAACAACACTTCTTTTATATGGCCAAAATACGAACACATCAAAATACGTGAGCAACGTTCAAGCCTCCATTTCACAGCTACTGTTCTTTGCACTATGGCATCGAGTGCGTGAAAAAAAAACTCCTATGTTAACCTGCTAGCGTCCTGCGAAAAATGCGGCCGAAACAACTACGCACTATTCAAAAATCACTCCCGTAGGTATTCGTACATCCTTTTTTTTTCACCGGACGCGGATCAAAGCTACCTGTTTGATATTAGCTTCACATTGGCACCATATAGAAGTAATGTAATCAACGCAACACTTTTCATCTCCGCACATCTTCATAAGCATAATAAATCTCAAAAAGTACGTTTGAATAATTCTCCTCACGAGTTCACTGAAAGAAATATGTCGCAATCACGTACCAAACAACCTGTAATGACTTCAAGCGCAACAATTATGTATTATAGACCTCTCAATTTCACTGACTTTGGGCAAAACTGTCCCTCGTTTTTCCAGTCCCTTATTATCAGGTGACACGTAATTTTGCTGCTCTGTGATTGGAAGCTCCAATACTAAAATTTTTTTTATGTTTCCTTTTCTTTGAAGGAGCAGTTCTATCGGGCGATAACCTATTCTTTCCTAAATTTTTCAGACAACAGACAAAACACGGACAGGGCAAACTTCTAACTTAATTTAACATCGAAACAATGCATAATTGTATATGGCATCGTGAGACACCAATATGGTAAGTGAGCAGTACGACAGCGGACATCTGCTACTCCCTCACACCAGATGAAGTCAGCGCGCGCTGTCATACTGCGCACATATGATATTGGTGTTCGGAGTTGTCTTACATATGCATCATTCGCACAATAAATTTATTTGGAAGTTTGCGCTCCTTCGTGTTTCCTCTGTTTTCTAAAAAAATGGCGCAAGAACTAGGTGATCCTGTAGTACCAGCTAGCTACAACCGAAACCTTGTTAAACTACCCTCGTAATCGAGTCAATGCATCGTAAACTTCTTGCAGGGGCGCAGCAGCAGCCATATTTTTCTGTCCCAACTGGTAAGCTTTTCAGCACGGTTCGATTCGGCAACAAAACATACGTGAATCTATGAAGTTTTATACTTGCAGTCAGTAATGAACATGACATTCCAGGGCCTCCCACTGAGGTCATAGCTCTGATAAGTATGTCCTATGCGAATGCCAGACATGATGCTGCGCAGAAGAAAAAGAAAGCATAAAGTTTGGTGAATGTACACCGGTGAGTTGAATGAATGAGTTCTTACATGCCCGTTTTCTTGATTGTGGACTGGTTAAAGTAAATGTCTCTTCCACTTATGTTTAAGGCATAGTCCACTTTGCAACTGTATGAGAAATTCAGGGTCGCATTGTATGTCCAGGTTCTCGGAGGATTCATCATAAACTGAAATGCAGAAAAAAAGAAAAGGCCCTATGCAATCTATTCATCTTATCTGATGTAAGCAGTTTTGGGTGAAACCGGCAAATATATCAAGTGGTGCGACACAAACGCGTCCTATGAGATTGTAAACCTCAAAGCCCGTTAATGTTGTGAGAATCTCTGTACAGCACACGGCGGTGTAATTAACGTTACATAGAGACAGGAGCGAGAAAGAGTAAACGTCACGTCCAAGAGTGAAATGTACCGAAAGACGCAATTATAACATAGAAGTGTATATGCTGGGGTCCACCACGGCTCCTGGACGTCATTTCGTCACAGATATGACGTTATAATTTTTTTGGTAACAGGCTCTAAGGGAGAAAAACAAGAAGGAACAGTTCCGCAGCGGGCCCTCGAACCATGCCCTCCCGCTCTTCAGCGCGCCCGCTAAACACTGCACCTCAGAACGACTTTCAGCCAAGCTTAACGGTGAGCTATTAAGACAATGCGCGTCATTTAGATTTGGATATGGTTTATTGATACAATATAAAGGATGTTGGCACACATGAAAAGCGCCGACTACTCTTTATCTTTGAGTGATTATTGAACACACATGTTAAAGGAAAAATAAAGAGAAGGTGCATAGAAAATAGGACACCCGATTACACATATGTAAAAAACTACTGATGCATACATATCAAACAACACCAACAAAATGACAAGAACGAAAGTCGATGAATAATGACCCTGCTAATGTCTCTTCTCTAGTTAACATTGAGTCCCACCAGCACAAAATTCATACATGAGAACCTGTTGTCAGATAAAAGCGACTAGTTGACGTCACTTGTAACTTACAATTTGAACTACAACAATGGTTATTCATCTGTCGGGAACGTGTGCGGAATTCTCAGAAGTTGCTCGTGTAGTACGTGATTAATAAATAGAAAATATGTGCGCTTACTCTGAGCACTTTACGAAAGGGGTGTACTCTAAATACTGCCGTACATGCTTTTGTGACCTAATACGATGTAATCAAAGCACAGACTAACAGACTATCAGATGAACTAAAAAAAAGCGACTTCAGCAGCGTACTGATGCACTTTTAATGAATAATGCCTGATGCGTAAAGTCAGAGATATCATTATTCCACAAATAAATCATATCACGTGTTCTATTTTTAAGTACACCCCAAAGTTCAACAACGTGATGAGCAAAATACTCGCTGTTGACGGTCAGCTCATTGCGCGAACGGGAATTGAACAATTTTTCGCATTCAGCCAAAACTCAGCTCTGATGGTGAGAGCCAGACGTGCCAAATTTCCCCATAATTCTTTTATATTTTATTAAGCTTTCGCATATCGATTGCGCAAATTGAGGATGTCTTCTTGCTGACACAAGTACAACACATTTTTCTTGAGTATATTGAACGCTGACATGCTGTACATCTATTGCAGAAGTGAACAAGCGCATCAGCTTCTTTCGCGCTTCTATCAAATTGATATTATCAGAGTGAGTATTATTGTTTCAATGAAAATTGTTACATGCCCGTTTTCTCGATTGTGGACTGGTTAAAGTAAATGTCTCTTCCACTTATGTTTAAGGCATAGTCCACTTTGCAACTGTATGAGAAATTCAGGGTCGCATTGTATGTCCAGGTTCTCGGAGGATTCATCATAAACTGAAATGCAGAAAAAAAGAAAAGGCCCTATGCAATCTATTCATCTTATCTGATGTAAGCAGTTTTGGGTGAAACCGGCAAATATATCAAGTGGTGCGACACAAACGCGTCCTATGAGATTGTAAACCTCAAAGCCCGTTAATGTTGTGAGAATCTCTGTACAGCACACGGCGGTGTAATTAACGTTACATAGAGACAGGAGCGAGAAAGAGTAAACGTCACGTCCAAGAGTGAAATGTACCGAAAGACGCAATTATAACATAGAAGTGTTATATGCTGGGGTCCACCACGGCTCCTGGACGTCATTTCGTCACAGATATGACGTTATAATTTTTTTGGTAACAGGCTCTAAGGGAGAAAAACAAGAAGGAACAGTTCCGCAGCGGGCCCTCGAACCATGCCCTCCCGCTCTTCAGCGCGCCCGCTAAACACTGCACCTCAGAACGACTTTCAGCCAAGCTTAACGGTGAGCTATTAAGACAATGCGCGTCATTTAGATTTGGATATGGTTTATTGATACAATATAAAGGATGTTGGCACACATGAAAAGCGCCGACTACTCTTTATCTTTGAGTGATTATTGAACACACATGTTAAAGGAAAAAATAAAGAGAAGTGCATAGAAAATAGGACACCCGATTACACATATGTAAAAAAATACTGATGCATACATATCAAACAACACCAACAAAATGACAAGAACGAAAGTCGATGAATAATGACCCTGCTAATGTCTCTTCTCTAGTTAACATTGAGTCCCACCAGCACAAAATTCATACATGAGAACCTGTTGTCAGATAAAAGCGACTAGTTGACGTCACTTGTAACTTACAATTTGAACTACAACAATGGTTATTCATCTGTCGGGAACGTGTGCGGAATTCTCAGAAGTTGCTCGTGTAGTACGTGATTAATAAATAGAAAATATGTGCGCTTACTCTGAGCACTTTACGAAAGGGGTGTACTCTAAATACTGCCGTACATGCTTTTGTGACCTAATACGATGTAAATCAAAGCACAGACTAACAGACTATCAGATGAACTAAAAAAAAGCGACTTCAGCAGCGTACTGATGCACTTTTAATGAATAATGCCTGATGCGTAAAGTCAGAGATATCATTATATTCCACAAATAAAATCATATTCACGTGTTCTATTTTTAAGTACACCCCAAAGTTCAACAACGTGATGAGCAAAATACTCGCTGTTGACGGTCAGCTCATTGCGCGAACGGGAATTGAACAATTTTTCGCATTCAGCCAAAACTCAGCTCTGATGGTGAGAGCCAGACGTGCCAAATTTCCCCATAATTCTTTTATATTTTATTAAGCTTTCGCATATCGATTGCGCAAATTGAGGATGTCTTCTTGCTGACACAAGTACAACACATTTTTCTTGAGTATATTGAACGCTGACATGCTGTACATCTATTGCAGAAGTGAACAAGCGCATCAGCTTCTTTCGCGCTTCTATCAAATTGATATTATCAGAGTGAGTATTATTGTTTCAATGAAAATTGTTAGGCTTTCCGCGCAATTATGGGTGGAGTAAAAATTCACGGAGAAGGCTAATATAACTACAAATCTTTTGCGATCGCCTTACAACACAGAGGTTAGTGTTAACAGTACTCTACTATTTATGAATCAAATCTGATATGTGTGAAAGTGACTTGTGATGGTCGACGCCGCTATTATAGCTGCGGGTGGCTTTTTTTTAGTAAAGTTCCGTGCTAATACAATGTGAACCGTTCATTGCAATCATCACAAAAAGACGTAAAGAGGTATCTAAACAGCAATATAGAAACACATCGCACGTAATACCACGAGTACAGCTACCAAGAACATGCTCATTGTAAAATATAGCACGCAAGCTATGATGATCAACAGATTTGCGCTCTTCACACGGCAACAGAATTGAATCTGTCCTGGCGCTTGCTGAGATATAACATACCTTTGTTTAAAGAACGGTACGAGTCAAGTTACCACTTTTGCAGGAAAGAGACAAACCTCCGAATTAAGATTGCCTAGCACGATGAAATAATGCGAGCTTGCATCGCGTGTGCGGGAAGTAAGACAGGTGCTTTTTTTACCTCTCGTATGTCTGGGTAAGTGGCTGATACTGGTTTCTGAAGAACACAAAGTTGCATTGCCAAAACTTTCAACAAGAAGAATCGTCCTTGGATATACATAATGTCGTTTTCGAAAGTAGTTTGGCTGCAGTTCTGCCAACGTTTGGTGTTAGCTCTTTACTGGCTGCACAACTCTTTTTCCGAGTATAATCGGGGTATATAAGTACAACGCAGTTATTATTTCCACTGCGCCGAGAGAGGCATTTGATTAAGCTCACTTTCACTTTTAAATTTATATTGTAACAAATACTCGGATTGGGTGCCTAAAATTACCTTCAAATTATTTAGTTGATGATAAAGCTTAGTTAATGACCCTCTATAGTTCTAAAGATAGGTGTGAACACCATTATTAAAATACTCCTCTCAGCTTCAGGCAAGAATCACCGTTTTATTTTTGGAGCAATTGTGCTAGAGAAGAGAAAAGCTAAACCGAACACCGCTAACCATTTCTAAAACAACGCACTTTTCAAGCTATAGGTTTCTGTCTATACGTATCTTCCTATGTGTGTCACTGACATCTGTAAGTGTACATGCCATTCACCTTAGTATTACTGCAGGAAATATATAAGTGGGAGAAATTCACCCGCAATTGTTAGCACTCCATTGCTTGAAGCGAAGCGCAACACGCCTTCATCAGTGAAGACGTTTGTCCACCGCGGCACCGGAATTCGGGAGCGGTCATCTGCGATGCCACACTTTTTTATTAAAGAACGCATGTAGTGCTTGCGGCGTTAGGAGTGTGATTTCGAGGTCACAGTTGAGATTACAGCTTCGGCGGAACAATTTTGGTAGAGGCGAAAGGGCAGAGGCCCACGCACGTCTAAATATGGTGGCAAAAGACACCCCAAGGCATTGTGCACAACGTCATGCCGGTGCTTCAAGCTGCTTCGCAAGAACACCTTACACAGGCTTCATCTCGGTAAGAATTGACGCTAACTTATGCAATAATGATTTAGGGTACTTTGTACTCTACTATGGCAGAGCATATAGCCGTCTCATTAACCTCATATTTGATGAGGCCCAAACACTCAACTCGACTGACTACGTCAAGGAATAGGTGTGTTTAGAAAAAGTGGGTAACGATTTAAGGTACTATAGGTACTCTACAATGGTAGAGCTTAAAGCCGTCATGTTCTAGGACGCTGATGACTAAAAATACCGAATTACGAAGGCAGACCCATTTGTCTCAACTAAACTCGACTGGCTACATCAACGGATATGTTCCAGAGAGCGCCGAAAAGCAAGGAACGTCTTACCAAACTGAAGTGCGCTAGGATGCCTCATTATGCTACGTTTGGGGAACTCAACTGGCGCCGGCGGGCCCCTATGCTTTAGGATAAATATTTTAAATTTACCTCTTTGTTTAAACTTTGTATAGTTATATAAGATGCTGGAAGTTACTTAGCATATGACTTTTATTGAAAATTTAATACGAAGATCTTGTGTAGAGAAAACCATCTATATGTGCATGTCGAAATAAAAAACTCACCGCATATCTACGGAATGAATGATGATGAGTGGGGCGAAGTGTCCATCAATGCGTCCGTGCTTCGGTCCGTACGTTCGTCCATCCGTACGTGCGCCTGTTCGTGCGCCCATTAGTGCGTCCGTCTGTGCGTGCGTCCATCCAACCTTCAGTTCTTATTTTTGTCTGTCTGTCCGTCTGCTTGTCTGTCTGTCCGCCTGTGCGTCAGTCCGTACATATGGTGAACACTTCAAGTACCGCCATTTCGCTTTTTTATCATATATTCTTCATATACAAGTACCACTATTCAGTGGACAATCCAAGGACTCAACGAGAGAAAGTACGACATTTCTGCTGTCAGCAATTTGTCAACACCAAGAGCGTGATAATGGCGCTGTGCTGTGTTTTTTTATAACATGTGGACATGCGGATATGTGCGGATATGGGTAGCTATGTGCCACTGGTTGCTACGTACTGCTACTACCACAACTACAGACAGACCCATGCCCTTAAGAGCTTCGCTCCTAAAAAATGTGTGACGTCTACTTTGCATAATACCGCCTCAACAGGATATAATATACTAGACCCAAGATGGGGCTATAAGTTTCCATATAGCGCCACAATAAGCTTGAACAGATCCTTGTAGAAGTAATAGGTTGTTAGACACTCGTAATCGTGACATCGAAGCTTTGTTCGACAAATTTGTGTACCAGGTGCATGACAAAATGTCTGAAATTGTGAGAAAAAAAAACATCGCAACCTGTGTCTGCAAAAGTGCGTACTAAAAAGATCGTACGTTAGTAAGCGCCCCAGAAAGTCAGTAGCAGCTTCTGTTACTAATTCGGAGCTTGTAGTTGCAAGCTTTCTACTAATCTTTTTCAAGATGCATACTTAAGATACAATGATTCGGCCAAGAATAGACATGAAGGGTCAATTCGAATATTGTTCAAGTTTGACGAAAGAAACTTACCCAATTAAACTCTAATTCCAAAACTACAGAAGCAGTATTTATACAAAAGCTGGCGCCTAGAACATAATAATTATTGCAGCCGTCAAAAAAAGCTTCTGGAATGGCAATTTATCTCAATAACTTCCTGAATTTTCTCGACGAGAAGTTAGATCGCAAGTTTTACGAACGCTTTCTCGGCTGCTAAAAACATTGTATCATCGTCTTTGGCTTAACGCGGCATACAACAGCAGTCTACTCTCGTTTATGGTAATTTTGCTGTAGAACCATGGAAACGAGTGTTTCGGAAAGCAAACGCCAAAGCGCAGGGTTCACGAGTCAAGGATTCAGAGGGAGAGACTGATAAGCGGGGTTTCTCGGTGAAGGGAATGAAAGTTCGGCAGGTGGTATCAATGTCCCGAGCTGAAACCTTTTTCAAAGTGGTTGACTGGAGTGCTTCCCAAATTTCCAGCAGAGGCTAAAGAAATGTTTTGGGTTGAATCAGTCGAGAACCTACGATGTTCGAAAGCGATTTTGGGGACAGACGATTTCCCATTTCTGGCAAAAGGTACCCGTTTATTTTACACGAATTCATGTGGTAGAGCTTTAAAGTTACGCGAAAATCATGCAGACGAACTTAACGAACATAGACCGCGCTCGGCATGTACTTCAAATGGTTCTTGGGGTGAGAAAACCGGGCCAACGAAAGCTAGGGGCCACTCACCACCCCCTACTATCTTTATTGATCCCGATGCGTGGTCTAGTGCAGACACTGGGTGCTAGGAAAGTGCCCGTGGTGCAGAGGCACCTGATGATTGCCCAGAGGGGCCGACAAATAACGCACGCTTGTACAATTAAATAGTGACGAGCGAGGACTGAGAGTCACTTGAATCGCCTAATGTGTGCAAATGTCTGCATTTCGGTGAAATGATTTTGAGCCATCGTACGTGACTTTAGTTTTTTGATTGGCTTGTGTTGTTTGAGTTACGTACTGCAGCGTACAATTTGTGTAGAACGTGACGTTGGTTTAGATGGTATTCATTACACTTACGCATTTAGAAAACACGTGTAGTGTTTCTTTCGTTTTTTGTGTTCTTGCGTCTGTGTATTGGTTGCTGCGAGGGTCCGGCAGAGGACGTTTTGTGCCTCCTCTTTGTTACAAAACTGGCTTAGCTGGAAAAGAACCTTGCTGTGAAGCTGCAAGCTTTTTTTCCGTGCTGGCGAAAACTACTATCATTTATAATTTTCTCGTAGCTGTGTATTAGCACGTACGTGCATTTCGCAAAAATGTGTATGACCTACGTAAATCTGAAACTCCCGTCATCATATTGCCCTGTGTCTTGGCAGCACTAGTGTCATATACCTGACACCTGTTCCACTCCTTTAGAGCACGTCACCTAGAAGAAGTGATTGTGTGGTCGAATAAAAAAACAATTATTCAGTGGCCGGTTAAAACAACCTTTTCCTGAGCAGGCAAGTGTATGCAGGTGTCCAGAAATAACAATGTCGAGCTATGTCTCAATGGGCTAGTTGCGATGGGTCAGATTGCTGAAAGGGACACTTGTGAACGTAGTCGTTTGATGCTACTAAATTTTTTAGGATGGACAATGGCCCCATTCTCTAAAAGTGTGCCTTGGGAAGGTCATTTATCGGTTGCTCTTCTCATCTCTCTCACGCAAATAAATGAAGGGTTAGAGAAGACCATTAGTAGAAGAAATTACGATATGCAAATGAGGTCACTAAGTGATCAAGATTCACCATGGGAAAGACAAAGATGAATAACCTAGCTGTTTAAATTTGGCTCCTAACTCCCCACGGGCGTTCTCATCAAAGTAGAGAGGTTCTGCATTTTCCGGCTTTACTGAATTATGTTCTGGAACAGTCCAACCCTCAATAGGTGTCAGTGGGACTGTGTATGTATAGATGTATATATGCACGTTATTGACTTAGCTGCCGCCAGCGTTGTGAGAAAATTGCCGGCCTCCCACAGGACCAAAATAATGTTATTTCCTTCCTTCTTTCCTTCCTTCCTTCTTTCCTTCCTTCCTTTATTCCTTCCTTCCTTATTTACTTACTTACTTACTTCACTTTACTTACCTTACTTTACTTACTTACTTATTTTACTTTATTTTCTTACTTTACCTACTTACCTTTCTTTACTTACTTTACTTTTGGTTGCTTTGCTTTGATTTGCTTTGCTTGCTTGCTTGCTTGCTTGCTTGCTTGAGAAGCGCCAACAACAAAGTTAAGGCAGTTAAAAGACATTCCACTTCCTTCAACGCGGACAGAGATGGTGTCAGATGAGAAAGCTCTGCTTTGATAGAACGGGAGAGGGAGGAAGTAGTTTGGTAAATAAAACGTACTTTACACTAACAACAAAAACAAACATTCCACCAAATCAAAATATACAGTGACATATTATAGCATGGTGGAACTGAAGCACTCAAATACAGCAGTGCTAAAAATTGTACTTTCAGTCGACGTGTTTTCTGTTTTTTTTAATGCTCGCATATTAAATGAACAAGTCACACGGGGAGTCATTGAATGTATGTAGTTATGCGTCGAGGAAGTTCTACATGCTGATGTTACGAACACATCATGTGTGCTGCATTTACCCGCGTCGACCAAAGTGGCTGATTAGTGCTTATTAGCTGTGCGAAGCAAACTTCACACGTGTTTACCGAATCACATACAATAAAACTTGTGGCCAAATATAAATCCAGTTTATAGAACTTGCCTGCATGACTTCTAACTAACTATACATTCTATACGCAAGAGT